GATTTTGTGTTTTTGATGGAGACCAAGGTACCACGGATACATGCAGAACGGATCCGGGTTACGCTTGGCTATGAAGGTTTGTTTTATGTTGATAACGATGGTTTGAGTGGAGGAATGACGCTTTTGTGGAAGAAGAATAATACGGTGAGATTTTTAAGCTATTCGCAGAGCCATATTGATGTGGAGGTTAGCTTGTTTAATAAGTTATGGCGCATGACATGCATTTATGGTATCCCCGAGCGTGGTAGGCGAGAGGAGACATGGGATTTACTTGGTACTCTCAAGACTAGATCCTTATTGCCCTGGGTGGTGATAGGGGATTTTAATAATCTACTATATCATCATGAGAAGAAGGGGGGAAATCCGTATCCTAATAGTCTGTTACGGGGTTTCGGAGATGCTCTGGATGACTGTGGTTTGATGCAAATGCCAATGAGGGGCCATAAGTATACGTGGCAGAAGGGGAAGGGGACGCCGAATTGGATAGAGGAGAGATTGGATAAGGCTTTAATAACGAATGATTGGGGTCTGCTCAATGAGAATGCAATGCTGGAAAATATTCGAACTCGGGCATCGGATCATTCGATCCTATTCCTCAGTATTAATGCGATTTGCATGCCAAGGAGAAGGGGATCGCGGAAGTTCAGATTTGAAATGGCTTGGCTATTGGATGAGGGGTGCAAAGGAGTAGTCGAAACGGCCTGGCAAGAGGGGAGAACGGAGGGATTGCTGCACTGCCAGCAGTTGTGTGGAGAAAAGTTGATGCGGTGGGGTGGAGATCAGTTCCATAAATTTGGAAAGCGAATTAACCACCTGCAGCGGAGGCAAGATGCCATAAGGAATAGACGAGATTTGGTAGCTCTCGCTGAGTACCAACAGATTGAGAATACCATGAAACGAGTAGAGGCCCAGGAGGATGTGTTTTGGAGGCAGCGGGCCAAGCAACACTGGCTACGCGGGGCTGATGCGAATACAAAATTTTATCACAGGTATGCTTCTGCACGCCGGAAAAAGAATTTTATTTCTACTATTAAATGTGATGCTGGTAACTGGGTGGAGGGGGATGATATGCATGTTGTTATACAGAATTACTTTGAAAATATTTTTGCCTCAAATGAGCTGAGTTGTAATGATCCACTTTTTGGAGTCCTGACCCCACGAGTAACGTTGGAGCAGAATGTGATGCTAGACCGCCCTTTTGAAACTAATGAGGTTAAAGAAGCTCTTTTTTCAATGTATCCGGATAAGGCACCGGGGCCGGATGGGTTGAACCCGGGTTTCTACCAGCAGTTTTGGGGGATAGTGGGAGGAGATGTATCTGGTTTTGTAATTAATGCCTTGAATTCCTGTGTATTCCCTGAAGGATTGAATGATACTAACATTGTCTTGATACCGAAGAAGGAGATGCCTGAGACAGTAGCAGATTTAAGGCCGATCGCACTGAGTAATGTCATTTACAGAATTATGGCCAAAATGATAGCAAATAGGATGAAAACATTGATGGGAGGATTGATCTCAGAATCCCAGAGTGCTTTTATCCCGGGAAGGCTAATCACGGATAATATCCTGGTGGCAGCGGAGGTGGGGCATTATCTGAATAGAAAGCAATGTGGTATAGTGGGATGGAGTGCATTAAAGCTAGATATGTCAAAGGCCTATGATAGAATGGAGTGGAACTTTCTGGAAAGGATGCTGACTGTTATGGGTTTTAGTGAGAAGTGGGTAAAGCTCATTATGATGTGTGTAACGACTGTTAATTATACTGTAATGATTAATGGTATAGAAGGGGGGCACGTAAAACCAACCAGGGGACTCAGGCAGGGAGACCCGCTCTCTCCGTATTTATTTATTATTTGTGCAGAGGCTCTCTCGATGATATTACAGTATGAACAGTTGGCAGGGTCAATACATGGGTGCAGAGTAGCAAGGGGGGCACCGCCTGTATCACACCTATTTTTTGTGGATGATACTCTCCTATTTTTTAAAGCAAATACCCAGGAGGCAGGAGTTATAAGGCAGTGCCTTGCAAGGTATGAGAAATTGTCAGGCCAGGTAGTGAATTATAATAAATCAAATATATGTTTTAGCAGAAATACCCAGGAGGCTGACAGGGCACAGGTGGCGAATTGTCTGGGGGTGGTACAAGCACCAAATTTTGGGAAATATCTGGGCCTACCATCTTTTGTAGGGAGAAACAAGAGAGCTGTTTTTTCGTATGTGGAGGAAAAAATCAGGCAGCGAATTGGTTCGTGGAGTAAAAAGCTACTCTCTCAGGCTGGTAAGGAAGTATTATTGAAAAGTGTAGCACAATCTATGCCTACCTTTTCGATGAGTGTTTTTTTGTTACCTAAGACAGTTTGTCAGTCAATTGAGCGAACTATGAATAAATATTGGTGGGGCAGTGGAAGAGAAAGGGGAATACATTGGAAGGCATGGGACAGGTTGTGCATACCAAAAAAGTATGGCGGTATGGGTTTTAAAGAGCTGAGGGCTTTTAATATAGCAATGCTAAGTAAACAGGCATGGCGATTTTTAACAGACCCAGAAACACTTGTAGCCAAAATCTACAAGGCAAGGTATTATCCCACAACCAGTTTTACAGATGCAACTATTGGTAATTGCCCGAGTTATTGTTGGAGAAGTATAATGGCGGCCCATGCAATGGTAGTCTCAGGGGTGCGAAGGAGGATTGGGAATGGACAGACAACCCTAATATGGGGACACCCGTGGTTACGAGACAATCCTAGCCCATTGATTCAAACAGAAATGCCGCAACAATTGAGAGAGGCGCGAGTTGCAGGACTAATTGATTTACAGACTCATACCTGGGATCCGCACATTCTGTCTGATTTATTTATTCCTGAAGATGTGGAACGAATAAATATGATCCCTGTTAGTCCTGAGTATGAGGACTCATGGTATTGGATGAGTGACCCAAAGGGGACATATACAATAAAGAATGCCTATAGGCATATTGTGGGAGATTATGAGAATAATCCAGCGAATTTTGATAAGTGGATCGCAATGTGGAAATTAAAAGTACCCCCGAAATGGAAAACTTTTTTGTGGAGAGCCATATGTGATATTTTGCCAACAACCCTTAACTTGATATTTAAAAGGGTGGAGGTGGACCCAACTTGCCCTATGTGTGGTTTAGATCATGAAGATGTGTTACATGCTTTAGTGCTTTGTGAATATTCTAGACTTGTTTGGAATATAACACAATTACCTATTATTAATATTGTTGCAGACTCGTTTACAACATGGCTAAAAGGGGTTATGACAGTCTTGACGGAGGAGCAGATCCGGTTAATGGTAGCAATATTATATTATATTTGGAGAACCCGGAATTCAGCTGTCTGGAAGGGATCAATGATGCGGCCTGCCCGGTTGGTCAGAGCAGCCACCGTAGCACTGCAGGCGTATGGCACTGCTCATGTTGGCCGAACCAACCCGACACCGGCGACGGACCACGTGAATGGTTCAGGAGGGGGTGGTCTACGATGTTATGTGGACGCGGGTTTCCGGCACGACACGGGCGAGGCTACTTACGGCATGGTAATTATAGCGCCAGATGGCTCGTTTGTGGCAGCGAGGAATGGCAAGTTACCAATTTGTTTTTCACCACTTATGGCGGAGGCTCAGGCATACAAGGACGCTTTGTCCTGGCTACTTGAACGGGACACCACATCAGTAAGTTTACTCACGGATTGCATGGAATTGGCAGCGATATTCAGGCACCATCATACGCCGATCCATTCGTACGTTGGGGTCACAGTTGACCAGTGCAGGACGTTTATGTCGTTATTTAATCGTATTACTTTGGATTATATTTCTAGGTAGGTTAATTTACATGCGCATACTTTAGCTACGTTAGCATTTACTCAGGATCAAACTATGTACTGGGATGCTATCCCACCTGACACTATTTCGGCTTTGATTCATTAATACAATCGCAAGATTGACCTTCAAAAAAATAAATTCGCTGGTCAAATCCGCTAGTATAATCCGCTAACGTTAACCGCTAACTGCTGATCGTCAAACAAGGACATTGCGAGGTAGTTCTCACTTCAATTTGTTGTGTGATTTGAATACTCTCGTTGTCACAAAATCTCTCAAGTAGTTAATATGGTTGACTTTATTAATTATATTTTTTAATTTTTTCATGGTATTAATAAAATACTTGGTAAATAAATATATAGCATTATTTTGTATTATAACTTTGATATTTAATTAGAAAAGTAGTGCACAAAAAAGATAATAGATAATGTAGTGAATATAATCAATTGATGAATTTGAATGTAAAAATTTTTACATTTGAGAAAAATAAAGACAATATAACTAATGAAAATATTTCTTTTAATTAATTTATTGATAATTAATAAAAAATTTTTCACTGAATAAAGACATTGTAAGGATAATGTAACGAATATAATCAATTAATAAATTTGAATATAAAGAATTTTTATATTAAAGAAAAATAAAGACAATATAACTAATAAAATTATTTCTCTTATTTAATTGATTGATAATGAATAATTTTTTTTGAATAAAGGCATTGTGGACACATAATTCTAAATTAAAGAAATGCATATGTATTATTTTTTGTTGTAACTACTAAATTATTATTTTTTATATAATTTAATAAGAGTAAAATAGAGTACTAATTATGCCAACTTTGATTGGGATGAGGTTCGAACCTAAGACATTTTTTTTATTGAAATCAATGAGTAAGTTAACGGTGAACTAACGGCAATTCTTAAAATTTTAACGGAATTAGTAACGGTGTGTGGGTATTTTAGAAAATTTTAGTGTAAAATTTAAATCTGATCAATCTTTTAATTAATCTGAGCCATTCATTTGATTAAAATCTGTGACCGCCATTTTTTCTACCCATTATAGGCCTAACTCTCTTAGGCTCTTATTAGTATAGTAGATAGTAGATATAGTAGATAGATTGCAAAGGATTTTAGCGAGAAGTTAAAATTTCAGAATTTTGTTTTTATATAAAGTATAGATTGCAATAAGAATTGTATTACACTATTTTATAATATTAGAATAGAATTTTAACCCTTAATTATTGTAAGAATGGGAAAGTAGAAATCAATATATTTTATTGGGAATAGAGATTTTTTAGGAATTGGGCGGTAAGTTAAAATTTTAGGATTTTGTTTTTATATATAGTATAGATTGAAATAGGAATTGTATTACACTATTTTATAATATTATAATAGAATTTTAACCCAGAATTATTATACGAATGAGAAAATAGAAATCAATATATTTTATTGGGAAGAGTGATTTTTTAGGAATTGGGCGGGAAGTTAAAATTTCAGAATTTTGTTTTTATATATAGTATAGATTGCAATAGGAATTTTAAAACACTATTTTATAATTTTAGAATAGAAATTTAGCCCAGAATTATTGTACGAATGGGAAAGTAGAAATCAATATATTTTATTGGGAAGAGAGATTTTTTACGATTTTGGCGGGAGGTTAAAATTTCAGGATTTTGTTTTTATATATAGTATAGATTGCAATTAGAATTGTATTACACTATTTTATAATATTAGAATAGAATTTTAACCCCTAATTATTGTACGAATGGGAAAGTAGAAATCAATATATTTTATTGGGAAGAGAGATTTTTTAGCAATTGGGCGGTAAGTTAAAATTTCAGGATTTTGTTTTTATATATAGTATAGATTGAAATAGGAATTGTATTATACTATTTTATAATATTAGAATAGAATTTTATCCCAGAATTATTATACGAATGGGAAAATAGAAATCAATATATTTTATTGGGAAGAGTGAATTTTTAAGAATTGGGGGGGAAGTTAAAATTTTCGAATTTTGTTTTTATATATAGTATAGATTGCAATAGGAATTGTAAAACACTATTTTATAATTTTAGATTATAATTTTAGCCCAGAATTATTGTACGAATAGGAAAGTAGAAATCAATATATTTTATTGGAAAGAGAGATTTTTTAGGAATTTGGCGGGAAGTTGAAATTTCAGGATTTTGTTTTTATATATAGTATAGATTATTATACGAATGGGAAAATAGAAATCAATATATTTTATTGGGAAGAGTGATTTTTTAGGAATTGGGCGGCAAGTTAAAATTTCAGAATTTTGTTTTTATATATAGTATAGATTGCAATAGGAATTGTAAAACACTATTTTATAATTTTAGAATAGAATTTTAGACCAGAATTACTGTACGAATGGGAAAGTAGAAATCAATATATTTTATTGAGAAGAGAGATTTTTTAGGAATTTGGCGGGAAGTTAAAATTTCAGGATTTTTTTTTATACATATAGTATAGATATAGATTGCAATTGGAATTGTATTACACTATTTTATAATATTAGAATAGAATTTTAATCCAGAATTATTGTACGAATGGGAAAGTAGAAATCAATATATTTTATTGGAAAGAGAGATTTTTTAGGAATTTGGGGGAAAGTTAAAATTTCAGGATTTTGTTTTTATATATAGTATAAATTACAATAAGAATTGTATTACACTATTTTATAATATTAGAATAGAATTTTTACCCCTGTACGAATGGGAAAGTAGAAATCAATATATTTTATGAGGAGAGACTTTTTGGGAATTTGGGGATTTTGTTTTTATATATAGTATAGATAGATTGTGGCATGGCTTTTTGAATATCATGCTAGCCTTACCTAAAGGAAAATGGCAAATTATTGAGTGGACCATGATTCACACCATGTTATGTGGCCATAATAAAAAAGTGAGTTAATTCCCTTTTTGTTCCTAGACTTATAGTGGCATGGACAATTTTAGTCCTCCATAAATTTTTTGGCCAATTTATGGACACACTTACTGTGACGGGGACAATTTTAATCCTCCGTCTATTATCTCGTTAGTTAACTGTCTAAATGAGGGACATTTCTGTCAATTCAAAGAATGTCCGCCGTCGGGTATAGCAGACTCCGCCGCCGGCAACCGCTCATTCTCACCACCCCCTTCCCAATCTCAGGCTAATCCCTTCTCCAACAACTATTCAAAGAATGTCCAAACCTACCACAATGAACACAATTCAACGGCACTTTCTCGAACTCAATACGCTGCTAAGAAAGAGGGCTTGAATCGGGTAGTTTATCCAAGCAAAAATGGGAGTTACAACAACCAGAAGGTTGGTTGTCATGGCAGAAGAAACATATCGATCTTCTACATTCTATTCACAATTAAAATAGCTGCCCCACCTCCATTCCCTGTCCCTCTTGCCGAAAAAGAATGAAAATACAGATGAACCCTTGTAAACATATCCAATAGTTAAATATAAGGAGATAAAGACCGTAAACATAAACCGAAGCAACAAATTTAAAACACAAAATTCTCGTAGGACATATATTAGAGCTCTTATCTTTAATTGCTATTTGATGCATTACGAGATTTTTAGCAAACAAAGTTGACAGATAGTTATTGTGTGTATTTTTAGATGGATGATGATATGTATGGTGTCTATTTCATATCATGGTTGCTTTAGTTTATTCATATTTGGAATTCTTGCATTTTGGTTTGGTTATTTAAAATATTGCTGTTGCTTTTGATTGTCACTGTTATTTTTATTTTGGGTTGGTTATGGACCAAACCTACCAAATGCAATTGGTAGTGTCTTCTTTCTGCCTAGTTCCCTTTGCTTTTCTTTCACTAACACTGCCGCCAATACTCACTATCTATCTATCTAGCTATCTCTTATAATGTTATGTTGACTACGTACTAATTTATTTACTCACTTTTTACATGTAGTTTCAACAAGTTGATTATGACAAAGCGGTTGTTGATCTGGTGCGTTCTGAATGAGCCGATATTCTATCATGTTATATAGAGTAGGTATGATTTGATGTTGTAATCATTTAGACTTGGTTCGTAGAATTGTTTTTTGTAGTATTATGACTTGGATGATGATTCGATTAGAATTGGTAATGAAAGTATTTTGACTTGTTATTTTGAACCTTGCTTAGCTTCTTCAAAATTATGTAACTACACTTGGCCATGGTGAATAGATAAATTGATTTTTTTTATATGATTAAAATTTAAGCAGGTTAAAAATGGGTTGAGACAACGGTTATTTTACAATAGACAACAGTTTGAAACTGTTGTCTTTTCTACAAAAGACAACAGTTTATAGGCGTGACTTTTAACAACAGCGATTTCAACAACACACAATAGACAACAGTTTATAACTGTTGTCTTTTAAAGAAAAGAAAACAGTTAAAAACCGTTGTCTTTTAAAGAAAAGACAACAGTTAAAAACCGTTGTCTATGTGCATCACTTTTAACAACACCGGTTTCAACAACATTGAATAGACAACGGGTCAAAAACTGTTGTCTTTTCTAGAAAAGACAACGATTAAAAACCGTTGTCTATGTTCGTGACTTTTAACAACACCGGTTTCAACAACACTTAATAGACAACGGTTAAAACACCGTTGTCATTTATAGAAAAGACAATGGTTAAAAACCGTTGTCTATGTGCGTGACTTTTAACAACACCGATTTCAACAACACTTAATAGACAACGGTTAAAAAATCGTTGTCGTTTCTAGAAAAGACAACAGCTATTAACCGTTGTCTATGTGCGTGACTTTTAACAACATCGGTTTCAACAACACTTAATAGACAACAATTAAAAAACCGTTGTCGTTTCTAGAAAAGACAACGGTTATTAACCGTTGTCTATGTGCGTGACTTACAACAACACCAGCTTCAACAACACTTAATAGACAACGGTTAAAAAACCATTGTTGTTTCTAGAAAAGACAATGGTTATTAACCGTTTTCTATGTGTGTGACTTACAACAACACCGGCTTCAACAACACTTAATAGACAACGGTTAAAAAACTGTTGTTTCTAGAAAAGACAACGGTTAAAAAACCGTTGTCTATGCGCGGGACTTACAACAACATCGGCTTCAACAACAGAAATTATACCCTTACGACAACGGTTATTAACCGTTGTCTATGTGCATTTTTCTTGTAGTGCTTCCTCACCTACAATTCCCACCCAAATTCTTTCAATCAAAGATTTCGATGCATCAATTTCAACTCTAGCCTTTGCAATGTTCGGCCGTGTTCTTTGATCCGTCGCCGAATCCAAAGCCAATACCCTCCCCCCCCCCCCCCCGCGCACTTGGCGAGTCTTTGCCAGCACTCCATACCGGTGACCACCGTGCGAACCAGAGTCCAGCCCCCTCCACCATCACCTGATTTTTCGTCAGAGTTCTTCTACAATCCTCCTATTCAATGATCCGATCTGCACCTCTCCATCCACATGAAGAATCAATCGAAGCATTGCCCTAATGGCATCTAATGGAGGTCTCGCCTTCGCACAATGCCCAACCAAGGTAAATCTCCTCTCAATCTATACTAAATTCTCCCATTCCTCTACTAATACTTTTACAATTGGATCTCCTTGATCTTGAATTTCGATCTTTTTCTGAAAAGGGTGTCTGGGAATTGAGCATGTAAACGGAGCTCGATGAAGCCCAGACGATTGCCGGCTAAGGGTTTGATGATTTGTAAGCTTCGAGTAAGGTCACGAATCCGGTGATGTTGCTATGGACGCACGAGGTTGGGCTCTGCATTGCGTACCAGACCCCGGCCTGTGCCGCCAAATGCATCACATGGGTAAATGCCACCGCATCGAGGAGCTTCTATAGCAAAACGACGTCATTTATGTTGCATTCTACAACAAAATAGTGGCGACGGTAACCAGAACTGAGAACCCCAACTTCGACCCGGCAACATCGATACCCGAACCCTACCCGACTGGAAATTTTTAACCTTGATTTCTTGATTTCTGGTATGAAGAAAGCTTTTTTTAATGGCGAATGTGGACTGATGGGCGGCGGTGTATTGTGGAAAGTGAATTTACCAAACAATCGCCATAGTTGAAAAGATGATTAAAAGAATAAGCTGAATTGACACAAATAACCCTCATATAGACGGTCAACTAACCAAATAATAGACGGAGGACCAAAATTGTCCTCGTCATAATAAGTGTGTCCATAAATTGACCAAATTTTTTATGGAGGACTAAAATTTTCGAGCCATTATAAGTCTAGGACCAAAAAGGGAATTAACTCTAAAAAAGTAAATTTGTAATATACTAAATGTACATTATTTATGTCTTGAATGCACGTTATGCAAAATAATGTACTTTTAGTACTTAAATAATGTACATTCTCTGAATATAATGTACATTTTTAATATACTAACTGTACATTATTTTTTACTGAATGTACAGTATTTTACAATATACAAAATATGATTCACACAACTTGTATGGACCATAGTCCACACAATAATGATTGAAGGAAAATAATAAGATTCTCGGAAAAAGAATCAAATAAGCCCAATTAGGAGTCATCTACCCACACTATCCGACTTCAACCACTTTTCTTTTTTACTTAAATAATGTTTCCCTTCTTTCCCATATTGGAGATGAAGAATGGCATTGGCTATGGCTGCCCCAGATTTGGAGATGGAGGGAAGAATAAGGTAGTCATGGGTACCTTTTTTTTTTTTTTTTTAGATAAAAAGTTTTTCCTTCTTTGTCTCCAGATTTGGAGATGAAGGCACACATTTTGTACCTTCTTTTCCTTCTTTGCATGATGTTCTACATGTTCCTGGGAAGATATAGACCATTTTGCAGCTCAGCTCTTCCAATCATTTTGCCATGGATAACATCCTGTATAAGGCACTGATTAGCATGTATTTTCATTACACAATTGGACTTCTTAATGAAGGCACCCACAAAGATTAAATTGCAGCAGAAACCAGGAACATGTAGAACATCATGCAACACAAAGTCATCAGATAAATGGACGGAACCAATAGAGGTAATGTCAGCTTGCTGACCATTTGGTAGGCTCACATGCAGGTCATGGACTTCTCTTTGACTGCTTAACAGTTCCAGATTACACACAATATGGTGTGTGGCACCGCTGTCTACTATCCAATCACTCTTATCAAACTTAACTGAGTTAGTTGAAGGAATCATACCTTCAGTCTGGAAATCAGTGGATATGATGTTGGCACTGACATGTGAGGGCTGATCAAGAGGTGAGTTCTGGCTTCCATTGATGGATCTGTTTTTCTGCATGAACTCCATAAATCTCTTGACATCATCCTGTGTAAAGGACATTCCACTTTCAGCATTAGACTGAGTTGCAGATGGACTCTGTGCCTGATTAGCAAAGCCTTGGTTTCTTGATCTTGGTTTCCACCCTGGTGGATAACCATGCTTCTTATAGCATTTGTCATGAGTGTGGCTTGTGTAACCACAGTAAGTACACACTGGTCTCTTGTTAACAGCAGAATTCTTCTTAAAACCTGACTGGAATTGTCCATCTGTTCTGGTCATCATCACACTAGCTGAACTGTTTTCACCTGTCTGATATAGCTGACTTGCAAAACCAGTACTAGCTAGCTGAAACTGCCTTTCTTGTTGAGCAATCATGGAGTATGCATCATTCACATCTGACAGAGGCCTCATTAACATAATTTGATTTCTAGCCCCTGAGTACTTCTCATGTAGACGAATCAGAAAGATAGAGAGCTTATCCTTCTCAAAATGTTCATTCACCTCATCAATCTTCTTTCCACATTCACATTTCACATTGCAGACACACTTCAAAGGAGGTCTAAGGATAGTTAGTTCATCCCACAGAAGTTTTTGTTTAGTAAAGTACTCATTCAATGAGTTATCCCATTGTTTAGTTTGATAGATCTCACAATTGATCTCAGCTATCCTGAATAAATCTTGTTGGCTAAATCTTCTTTTCAGATCACTCCATATACCATAAGCAGTGTCAATCCACAAGTCACTCCTTCCAACAGTTGGAGTCAAAGTTCTCACAATCCAGGAGACTACTATATTATTGCATCTTTCCCAGGCGAGGTACCTTTCTAGGTTGTCTCTAGTAGGTTTAGTGATGCTTCATCAACAAAAGCTACTTTGTTCTTACATGAGAGGGCCATAGTCATTACCCTAGCCCATGGATGGTAGTTCGTTCCATCTAAGGGAACTAACACTAATTCCAGGGCAGGATTTTCGTTAACATGAAGGAAATATGGGTTCGATTGAGATTGCGGATCAAATGTTACCTCAGAAGCATTGGAACCAGTGGCTGGATTGGGTGTAGATGGCTATACATTTGCGGTGGCTGGATTTTTAGTCGGAATCTCTGTCGGAATAGTCTGATTGCTGATTGGAGGCCATGCGTTCATCGAACCAGAAGCCATTGACAAAAAACTTTGAGATTCTCAATCTTCCTGCTCTGATACCATGTTGCGGATGGAGAGATGGAGAAAGATGAATGGAGCAAAAGATAATAAGGTAAGAAGAAGGAACTAGATCTCTCATTAACCAAGTTCAGGACAAGCTCTACGACTTATATATACAACAACTTGAACTACCAAAAGGGAGGAAAGCAACAGTTTAGCATAACAGAAAATAACAACCAAGGTGGTTGAGATGATGACAAGTGGCTGCATCTATCACCATCTAAAAGTTTTTGTTTGATGTGTATGCTTTCCTTATTTGAATAATATAAAACTATTAGAGAATTGCATATAGTTCTGAGTACTCGTTATGTTGCGATGTTTTTAAAAGTTTAAAGACCCAAACTCTTTTAGATTATGGCATGAGTGATTGGGTCAATTGGGCAAATATAATGAGTTAGATTTTTACTAATATTGTTGGAGATAATATATATGTCAAATAGTAATCAACCTCCTTCACATGAATATTTCTTAAGGATGAGAATCTGTGAAGGAGAAATTTCTAAATAATGAGGTAAAGAGAGACAGGTAGTGGATCATCATATTAATAATCATCCAGTCCAATATATATAAGATATGCAGAGTCCACATCTAATTATTTACAACATTACATAGATACACAATAGCACAAATTTTATTTTTAAAATCATAAAGCATTTATTTGTTCAGAGGTAAAGAGTTAGAGCAATTTATTTCATCTTTTGGACTATTAGAGCCAAAAATTGAAAGAATAAAATAATAAGAGCAATAAGAAAATGGGTTTTTGTAAACCTCTTTTTCTTGATAAATTAGAAAATTTTGTGTTCAAGAAAATACTTCAAAACGATAACAAATAAAACAAATTAAATATAAGGATAAAGGATACTATACCAAAATATCAATTCTGAGCATATTTAAATGAGTTAATAAACTTTCATATTTCAACCCCTTGTCTTACTTCTTAATTCAAACATTTTGGAGATGATCGAATACTGATTAATTAAAATTACCAGTTTAACAACTCCTTTAGCTCTAAGCACAAACTCACAGAAACAAGCTTAATATATTTAATCAGTATCAAGTTTTGATAGATGTAATATTTTATATTTATTCATAACTAGTATTTTCACCCGTGCGATGCACGGAATGGATTTGTTATAATATATTAAAAAATCTGGGTCGTTATTGTTGGAAAAAATAGCTTAAAATGACATAAAATGGCATATTAAGTGGCTATTTTGTAGTACAATTATCAGTGGGGTCCACTTCCGATTTGGGTCGGGTCAAAGTGGATTCGGATTCTTCGTAGTGAGACAAAGAGATCGATATATTGTACGCTCAAAATGGATAATGGGTGAATGAGATATTGATTCTCAAAGTAGACCCATTTGAGTTGGAAAATGAAGGGAAAAAGTGAGCTTTTGTCCCACATTGGTTTGGAAAGAGGATTTGCCCCCCTTATATACAAGAGCTCTTTTGAAACTTGTAGAATTGTATAGCATAGAGGCTCTCTCGCGGGTGGGAGGGGGTGCAAATCAAATTCCAACTAGACGAGATTGAAAAAGACTTGATTCAAGCCCCCCGAGCTTGTGTGCGCGGGCACGAATGTCGTCCGGAAATTGGCTGGCCTTGCGGGCTAAGTTATGCCAACCTTCGTATCATTTTCCAACCGGTATAGTCACTTGGTTCGGCCAAAACTGAGATCACCACTCTCGTGCTACAGAGAGCACGAGAGGTTGTGGTGCACCGAGAGCACAACTCAAACTGGGTAAGGTCGAAAGTTGAGACCGAACCCTACACGCCAATGGTCTGGAACCCGAAAGTTCTGAATGTTATGGGGATTGAATTCATCTGTTACGGAATTAATATCATATTAACTCCAATTTTGAATTCGGAATTCAATTCTCAGGTAGTGGCCTGCTGTTATAGCTGTTGGAGAGCCAGCTTTAAAGTGCCTTAATAAAAGCTATTTAATCCTTCAACCCTATATAAGAGAGGGTAGAGGCAGTAGAGAGATACACATAAAATATAGAACACGAAAGTTCATCTTTTAGCCTCAAAACCTCTCTGCTTCTACTCCTTCTTTAGCCTACTATGTTCATAACCTTGTCTTGCTCGCCGGATTCCTTGTTTGAGTGCTCAAACATTGAATCACTAGCAAGTTTTATCCTGGGAAGCCTAGGCCACAACGCTCCTAGCATCTTTGGGAGGTGTCAAATAAGGTTTTAAGGAAAGAGTGATTGCTTGACTCTTGCAAAAACCCAACACCAAACACTAGCCAATTTTCTCCATCTTTCCTTCCCTTTGTTTTCCAGAAAATAATAATCTTATTTATTTTGATTATTATTTGATTTTCTACCAACGGTTCCAACAGTCTTAAAACCTTATTCCTTGTTTTCCCGTTGGTTGTTTTCTCAAATTTTCTTGAAGAAATGGAGAACCCCGAGTTGCCTTTCGTTAACAGTGGGGAAGAAAATGTTGTTGAGAACAACAATGGAGGAAACGGCAACAATGTTGCTAATTCCCAAGCTACACCAGTGAACGTTGGTTCACAAGATGGTGGGAGCACTGAGGGATATATTCCCATGTCTCGGGTACCTTTGGTACCGAGTGGTTCGGCAGAAAAGCCGGAGAAGTTCACCGGTGTTGGTTCGAACTTCAAGAGGTGGCAACAGAAAATGTTGTTCTACCTAGCAACTCTCGGCTTGGCAAGGTTCTTGTCCGAGAAAGTTCCCGAGTTGAAGGAACAAGATGCACAATCCGTGATGGCGGTTGGCTATTGGAAGGATTCGGATTTCCTTTGCCGAAACTACATCCTGAATGGATTGTGTGACACGCTATACGATGTATATCGAAAGATAAATAAATCAAAAGCGTTGTGGGAAGCTTTGGATCATAAATACCGAAGTGAGGATGCCGGCTCAAAGAAGTTTGTGGTTGGCTGATTCCTCGACTTCAAAATGGTTGATTCAAAAATTGTGCTAAGTCAGGTGGAAGATTTGCAATTAATCTTCAATGAGATCCATGACGAGGGCATGGTGCTAAGTGAAGCCTTCCAAGTGGGATCTGTGATCCATTTGTTACCTCCAGGTTAGAAGGATTTCAAGAACTACCTTAAGCATAAGCGAAAGGAGATGAACCTGGAAGACCTGATCCAGCGACTCAGGATTAAGGAGGGGAATAGGACGAATGATAGGAAAGTTCCTATCGTTGTTGGCGCTAAGGCCAACATTGTGGAGCATGGTAAGAGCTCCAAGAGGAACCAGAAGGACAAGCGAAAGCTAGGTCCGAAAGGTGGCGTTACCAAGAACAAGTTTCCTGGTGAATGCAACAATTGTGGCAAGCATGGCCACAGAGCATCTGAATGCAAGGGTCCAAGGAAGAAGAACAAGAGTTCTGAAGCCAATGTTGTTGGAGATAGCAATCAGAAGGAGGTCGAGATTAGCCTTTCGGCTATGGTGACCGAGGTGAACCTCGTGGGCTCAAACCCTCGTGAATGGTTAATTGATACTGGTGCAACAAGGCACTTGTGTTGCAACCGAGAGATGTTCAACACCTTTGAGACCGTTGAGGGTGAAAAGGTGTTGATGGGAAACTCTGCTCAGTCTGCTGTGGAAGGCATGGGCAAGGTAGTTCTGAAGATGAATTCCGGGAAGGAACTGACGTTGAACAACGTGTTGTATGTTCCTGAGCTGAGGAAGAATCTTGTGTCTGGCTCTCTGTTGAACAAGCATGGCTTTCGCATGGTGTTCGAGTCAGACAAAGTAGTTTTGTCCAAGTTAGGGATGTTTGTTGGTAAAGGATATGTAACTGATGGGCTTTTTAAGCTTAGTGTAATTCCTGTTATCAATAAAAGCAAAGTTAATTCTGTTTACTTGCTTGAGTCTTCCATTTTGTGGCATGGTAGACTAGGTCATGTTAATTTTAATTCTATGCGTAGATTAATTAGCATGGACCATATTCCTAACTTTCAAATTGACACAAATAACAAGTGTGAAATTTGTGTTGAGGCAAAACTAACGAAAGTACCTTTCAAATCGGTTGAAAGGGAAATTGAACCACTAGAATTAATCCATAGTGATTTGTGCGATTTTAGATCGATACAAACGAGAGGTGGTAATAAGTATTTTATCACATTTATCGACGATAGCACACGATACTGCTATGTGTATTTGCTTAAGAGCAAAGATGAAGCCGTTGATAAATTCGTTCTTTATAAGAATGAAGTGGAAAACCAACTTAATCAGAGAATTAAGAAGGTTAGAAGCGATCGAGGTGGTGAGTACGAAGCACCTATTGGTGACTTCTGTGCGAGTGTAGGTATAATACACGAGCGTACTGCACCTTACTCACCTCAATCGAACGGTGTTGGGCCGAACGAAAGAATCGTACATTGAAAGATATGATGAATGCGATGCTTATAAGTTCGCTCCTACCTCAAGATGCGTGGGGTGAGACGATTTTGACAAGTAATTATCTTTTGAATAAGGTACCCTGCAAGAAGCTCGATAAGACTCCTTATGAGATGTGGAACGGTAGGAAACCTTCATACCAGTACCTGAAAGTGTGGGGGTGTCTTGCCAAAGTATTGGTGCCAACACCTAAGAAAGTAAAGATAGGTCCTAAGACGGTGGACTGTATCTTTATTGGCTATGCACATAATAGTAGTGCTTATCGGTTCTTAGTACAGGAGTCCCATAATTCGGATGTACATGAGAACACGATAATAGAATCAAGGAATGCATATTTCTTCGAAAATATATTTCCTTGTAGGACCAACGAGGGACCAAGTACGTCAAAACGAACGTTTGACGAAACTATGGATAATGATAGTGGGGAATCTGAGAAAGAACTCGAGCTCGAGCCGAGACGTAGTAAGCGGGCGAGAGTTGGAAAATCATTCGGTCCTGATTTTCTAACTTACTTGTTAGAGTACGATTCGGGTACTCTAACTTGTTTATTAGAAAACGAACCTGATTTTCTATCTTGTTTGATAGAAGACGAGCCTCGAACGTATGCAGAAGCCGTGACTTCTACAGAAGGACCAATGTGGAAAGAGGCTATAAAAAGTGAAGTGGATTCTATCCTACAGAATCACACTTGGAAACTTGTTGATCTTCCTCCGGGTAGTAAACCCTTAGGATCCAAGTGGGTCTTTAAAAGGAAGATGAAACCTGATGGTTCCATCGAGAAGTATATGGCTAGACTTGTAATCAAGGGTTACAGGCAATGCGAGGGCCTCGATTACTTCGACACGTATTCTCCCGTGACGAGAATAAACTCCATAAGGATGATACTTGCCATAGCCGCGTTGCGGAACTTGGAAGTTCATCAAATGGATGTGAAAACCGCTTTCCTGAATGGCGAATTAGATGAGGAAATCTATATGGAACAACCCAAAGGGTTCGTGGTTCCGGGCCAAGAAAGGAAAGTGTGTAAGTTGGTTAAATCGCTCTATGGTTTAAAACAAGCACCTAACAGTGGCACGAAAAGTTTGACCATGCGATGTTAACTAACGGGTTTAAAATAAACGAAAGTGACAAATGTGTCTACGTTAAGGAAACGATAGACGGCTACGTCATTCTTTGTTTATATGTCGATGATATTCTCATCATTGGTAGTAATGATAAGGTGATCAAGTCTACCAAAAACATGTTAAATGCGAGATTTGACATGAAGGCTATGGGTTTGGCCGATTTAATCCTCGGGATTAGAATCATTAGAAAACCTGATGGTCTCGTGTTGAGCCAATCACATTATATTGACAAAATCCTTGAGAAATTTAACAAGGATGATATTCAAGTGGCTAGGACAACATTTGATACAAATATTCATCTAATCAAGAACCACAGAGAATGTATTTCACAAATGGAATATGCTCGGGTTATTGGTAGTTTGATGTATCTTATGAGCTGTACTCGGCCGGATATTGCCTATGCGGTTAGTAAACTCAGTAGATATACGAGTAACCCCGGTGCTATGCACTGGAAGGCAATAGTAAAGGTTATGAGATACTTGAGGTATACTCGTGATCTTGGACTACACTACGGGAGATATCCCGCTGTACTTGAAGGGTATAGCGACGCGAACTGGATATCTGATATTAAGGAATCTAAGTCCACGAGTGGCTACGTGTTTACACTAGCCGGTGGAGCCGTTGCATGGAAATCCTCTAAGCAAACTGTGATAGCTAGATCCACGATGGAATCTGAGCTGATAGCCTTGGACAAAGGTTGTGAAGAGGTTGAATGGCTACGCCATTTTATAGAGGATATTCCTAATTGGGAAAGACCGATACCTCTAATATGTGTGCATTGCGATAGTCAAGCCACAATTGGAAGAGTACAGAGTCATATGTATAATGGTAAGTCTAGACACGTGCGTCGTAGACATAATACCATTAGACAACTACTCACAACTGGTGTTGTCTCGATTGACTACGTAAAGTCAAAAGACAATATAGCGGATCCGCTGACCAAAGGGTTAGGCAAAGAAGTTGTGGAGAAGTTGACATGAGGAATGGGTCTAATGCCCTTGGACTAAAAAGTTCTATAGTGGATACCCAACCTAGCTGGCACCTAGGTTCAATGAGACAACTAAATTATTGAACGGAGCGCATCATTGTGGGGGTCTCGGACTCCCTACTACTCCTCGTTAAAACAGTGACTCCCGCATGAGGCTAGCATGTTGATGCTTTAATGATTCTTGAGTATGCGGGATACTCGAGAAAGAATCACCTATGTAAGAGAGAAGTGAAGGTCGCTTCGAAGGAGAATTGTTGGGCACAATTCTTTAGAAACTCTCGCAGAACCAGGAACGGTGACCCACAACCAAAACGGGCACACTCGTGAGAGCAAGAGCATGGTTGGGAGATTCCTGTGGGAGATATGTCATCGTCTACATAAACGGTAGTCGGTTCAAAGACATCGCGTTCTACCGTACAGCCAGTAAAGTAAAAATGTCTTTACAAGGGAAGGTTCAAAGGGTATAGTGACTCCCTACCTATC